TTAGACAGATTACTTAATCTAATACCTCAGTTTTATCATCTACAAAATGGATACAATAATAGCCAAACTTCACAGTTTGGTGAGATGATTAAAAACACGAATGCATGTAAAGTGCCTGATTTATAGTTAGGTCTCAAATGTTAAATACCATTATTAGATGTTATCACATCAGCTAATTTACTGGGAGGAAAACTTTCTTTCTCAGCAGGGTAGAGGTTAAAAGGGATTCTTTTTCTACGTGGCTCTAGTCTAAAACACTACAGGTTGATGCTTAATCTTGATGGAAATTATGAGAAGTGCATATTTCTGGGAGGATTACACTGATGTGTATAAGCACGTGTGCTGATTTAGTTACTTGACAAAACATTTCAGGCAGATCTTCATTTCGTAGGATGTGCCCTAGCATTTTAGAAGGAGGTGACTTAACTACAATCTTTGATCAAACTCCCTGATCTTTGTCTATTGGCAAGCTGTCTGTCATGGACTGAATTGGTGGTATGATGATCAGAGTCCACAATTATGAACACAAGAAGATATTACTTTTAGACTAGGCTATTTTAGATAGTCTTTACAATTCAATAGTCTTTACATTCCAGTGTGGGTCATTCCAAGATGATTTGATTATATCTATACTTTGCCCTATCTTTCCTTTTTTTTTTTAAGTTTATTTATTTATTTTGAGAGAGAGAGTGCATGTATATGTGCACACATGGGTGGGGGAGGGGCAGAGAGTGAGGGAGAGGGAATTCCAAGCAGGCTTCTTGCAGAGCATGATTTGAGACTTGAACTCACGAACTGTGAGATATGGCCTGAGCCAATATCAAGAGTCGGATGCTCAACTGACTGAGCCACCTGGGCGCCCACCATATCTTTTCCTAAACATACCGATAACATGCAAGGACAGAATAGACAGATTCTATTGTTCTAGAATCCTAGTGCATCTAGTATTTATAATCTAATGCCTCAACACAATTACACAATTCAGATTAAAGAAGACCTGGTTTTGCCTACAGAGATATTTTGCTTTTTTGTAATGTTTACTTCAGAAATGTAATTAGTATTTCACAGCTTGTTCTAATGGACTTGTCATGGTTAAATTGACCTAATTTTATATACTGATTTTTAAAATATTAATGTAATAAGAGTGAGATAATATATCATTCCATATAAAGTTTATATTGATTTCTTATAATTATAAAGTATGTTTAAAATGTATATTTTATGATTCTTTGGGTGAAAAATATATGTGAAAAAAAAATTCTCCATCTTGCATTTTTCCTTCATTTGAAGCAGTATATTTCAACTATAAAGTATGTAACAGTGTCTGTGGTAGCAAAAAAAAAATCCACCTTTTGGAGCTATAAAATATACAGAATTGAAAGCTGACACCTAATATATTTTTCATTAGATACAGATGTTTAATGTAAACTCTTTCTCCAAGTATTCACGAAAATCAGGCTAACTAAAATTGTTTAGGTATAATGCCTAAAAAGTAAAAATCATAACTTTTGGTAAATTGCTAATAAATTTTTAATGACAGACATTTTTCTTTTTATAATTGACTAGGTCTTTTAAATTAATTGTAATCATCTTGCCACTTAACATTATGAATAGAATCTACATTGCCATGGAACTTAATGAAATACAAATACCTAAAGAACAGCTTTAAATGTAGATAAGCTTATAAGTAATTTATAAAGGGGTCTTTCAACAATTTGGAGTAAAATTTACCTTCTTTACCTCGAAATTGGTAATTTTGAAAGTATTTCTAATATTTATTTTTCCTACTAATTTCCAAAATTACTTTCCTACTAGAAACTGCAGGCCAATATGGTGACTATGTAACCCAAATTTTGTTGTGGTGGCCTTTTGTATCTCAAGAATATTACTTTCATTCCTGAATGAAGTTCAGCTGCAGACAATTTTGAAATAATAGTAGTTTTGTGTTGGCTGCCTCTGCGGTGAGTAGTTAGAGCTACTGATGTTTTGCCACCTGCAGAAGTCATTATCCTATCTGGGGCTAAAATGCAAAGTATCCAGTAGGGAAAAAAAGAACATTTTTAAGAAGGTAATTGTCTTTCCTTCTTTACCCGCCCTTCCCCCAAAACCAAACCACCCAAACCAAAAAAAAAAAAAAAAAAAATCTAACAGATGTTTAAATATATTCTTTGTTGTGAGGTTAACTTCAAGCCAGTAGTTTATCTGTTGTTCCAGTTGGGTTCTTTTTAGGTGTTCGTGGAATTGAGCTGCATGCATTGGTCTTAAGATAATGCTAATCCTATGATAGTCTCAGTATAAAACTTGAAAGTGCTCTTCTTTTGCTTTAATTTAACCACTTTTTACAAAAATAATACCCAATGTTTTATCAAAGTTTTTCAGCAGTTTATTTCTTTATTTTTTAATTTATATGCTCACTGAACACATTATCTAGGTGCCTCCTATGGTAATAACATTATACTTCCCTCTGTAGAACACACAGGCACACAGACACAGACACACACACACACACACACACAGACACACACATACACACACACACACACACACACAAGATATTGCCCGAAGAGGTTTTGAGGAAGACAGTAGGTGCTTTTGGGGCAATTGGGTGGCTCAGTCAGTTGAGCCTCTGACTGGCTCAGGTCTTGATCTCGCAGTTCATGAGTTTGAGCCCCGCTTCGGGCTCTGTGCTGACAGCTCAGAGCCTGGAGCCTGCTTCAGATTCTGTGTCTCCCTCTCTCTCTGCCACTCCCCTGCTCATGTTCTCTCTCTCTCTCTCTCTCTCTCTCTCAAAAATCAACAAACATAGAAAAAGAGGTTTGAGGAAGATAAGAACTTTCCACAAATCATATTACTAGCAATAGAAGAAGTTTGAAAATGAGTGATGCCCTTGAGTGTGACCATGTAAAAAAGAGTAGGGTACACTGGGAGAATCTCTTTTTGGATTTCTGATTAAAGGAAAGACATAACGGGGTCAGGCAGATGTAAGGCAGGAGGATATTGTAGGCAGGGGCTGTGCCAGGAAGAAATGGATGGCAGTAGGAATGGGAAGGTCTTGCTAGAGAAATAGTGAAGGCAATGTATAGACCAAGAATCAAGGAAACTATAAGGATGCTAGGTTAGAAACGTGGATTAGAGGCATAAGGGTCATCCTTTGGATACGTTAAAGTGGATATATTTCACATTTTGGCTGGCACAGATTAGGGACTATGCAATAAAAAAGAATAATGACCCAGGGAGGGTGGTGCTTAGCAACAGTAATTTTAGCCATGAGTGTGATATGCATTGGAGAGAGAAGTTGACGATAGAAGGAATAGCCATTGTTTTTGTTGCTAGAGGTTTAAGTATCAAATCCTGAAAATTAAAATTTTTTTTCATTTTATTTATTTTAGATAGAGACAGCGAGTGGGAGAGAGTCTGGGCAGAGGGAAAGAGAGAAAGAATCTTAAGCAGGACTCAGTCCCATGACCCTGGGATCATGACCTGAGTTGAAATCAAGAGTCAGATACCCAACCCACTGAGCCACCCAGGCACCCCCAACAGTTTTATTAATATTATGGTACCAGAAATGGAAGGAAGCATGAGTCTGTAGGGCCTGTGACTAATAAGTTACAGGAAATTAAGGCAGGAAAATAAAATATGTTGAAACTGAAGAGAATTAAAGTGTCATGAAAAGGAGAGAGCTTTGTGAGAGATGAATTTGGGGAACATGTAAGAAAAAAATAGTGGTTTATAAGGCTGAAAGCAAGAAGGAATCAGGAGTAACAATTTAAGGTGTAGGGTTTCTTTTAGGGGTGATGAAAATGTTCTGAAGTTGTTCTTGGTGACTGATGATTGCACATGTCTGAATATACTAAAAGTCACTGAATTATACACTTAATTGGGTGAATTGTAAGGTATGTGAATTATATCACAATGAAGCCTTTATAAAATAAAAGGAAAATGAAGAAACAAAATCTGGGGGAAATAGAAGAAAGAAGGCAACTAATCTTTAACTAGTTAACTGCCAGGGATGAACAACTGTGAATGATGTTCATAAGGGCAGCAGTAGAAGCCGAGTGGTTTTGAGGAGAGAGAAAAGTAGATACTGAACCCATTAATCCACAGTTCAAAGATGGTGGTAGGAAGAGGAATGGTTAGAGAGGTAGTGTTTCTTTCAGAGTTGCATTTGTTTCACCTCATTATCTTAATCAAAAGACAAACTCAGGAGAGCTTAGAGATGTGGTTTATTCACTGGCCATGCCACTAGAGTTGCCAATGGTGGCTGACATTTTGATGCACCATGACTCTATTCCAAATTGAAGAAAAGAGAGCTATGGTGTTCTTGTAGTCAAAGACATAAACCGGTGGCTCAGTCGGTTAAGCATCTGACTTTGGCTCAGGTCATGATCTCACAGTTTGTGGGTTTGAGCCCTGCGTCAGGCTCTGTGCTGACAGCTAGCCTGCTTCAGATTCTATGTCTCCCTCTCTCTTTGACCCTCCCCTGTTCAAGCTGTCTCTCTCTCTCAGAAATAAATAAAAAAACATTTTAAAAAACGACATAAACAAAACACAAGATGCCAGTTCTGCCTTCCACCTTCGCCTTGCAGGCATAGTAATCGAATAGGCTACTGAGGACGTGAACTGAGTGCACCTCAGAGGTCAAACTGTGCAATCATTGGAAAAAGATTTTGAGTTTCATTGACCGGTTGTTTTTTATGCCTCTGGATTGCCAAGTGATGGGACTCTCACATAGGATATCGCTTTGCCACTTTTAATGTGAAATAAAACTTTTATGCAGTTGAAATTATGTTATGAAAATATAAAATGTTGAGATTCTTGCCACCAAAGGAAAACATAAAATTCCAGAGAAACATTCTTTTCCTGTGTTCCCATCCCAGATACGTAACCCAGCTGGAATAGAAATTTTGGTGATAAAAGCTGTGTCAGATATGTTGGCATGAATGTTATATTTGCATTGGGGAATGCTTATGCTTTTGTAATGCTTCTTTTTGTTATTGCAGGGAAGGAGATTACGGCAGAAACTTTTATGGAGAAATTGGATAATGGTGCCTTGCTCTGTCAACTTGCAGAAACTGTGCAGGAGAAATTCAAAGAGGGCATGGATGCTAACAAGCCTACGAAGGTAAGAGATCTATAGGCAAAATCACTCAGGAGGCAGATTACATTTGCAGTTGCTTACGAACAGAGTTTAATTTTGGTATTTTGTTGTCAATGGTGCATTAATATGTCTATTAACAAAACACAGAGGATACATTTTAATCAGGCAGTATGTAATTTGCACTCTAATTACGTAAATTACATAATCCTTTTGGTTAGTCTCATTAACTAGAAGGTTACGGAAATTGATGATATTAATACAGAACAAGTACTGTGGTTGAATCTGATGTATTGATTGCAAATTTAGCACACAAACAATTTATATCATCAGGTGATGAACAAAATCTGGCCAAGAAAGATTTACTGAATAGGTCTTTGTTTCCAAATAGATTATTATAATAGATCATTGGAATAAAGTATCTGGAGTGCGTAATTTTTTTAATGAGTAGGGGCATTGCACTAAGTAACTTTGGAGAAATTATTTTTTTTCTGACTGCTCAAATTTCTTTTGTACACATATTCTTTTATGGTTATTATAAGTTTATAATGAGAGTATGGCACTTGATATTTTTGAAAAATTTTTTAAATCTTTATGTATTTTTGAGAGAGAGAGAGAAAGAACAAGTGGGGGAGGGGCCGAGAGAGAGGGAGACACAGAATCCGAAGCAGGCTCCAGGCTCTGAGCTGTCAGCACCAAGCCCGACATGGGGCTAGAACTCAGGAACCATGAGATCATGACCTGAGTGGAGTTCAGACACTCAATTGACTGGGCCACCCAGGTGCCCCTGGTGCTTGATATGTTTTGAAGAAACAAGATAGATGACACTTTCTTTAATTTTTAAAAGAGAAAGAAAAAGCATAAGAAAAAATAAGGTTAGTGTGGAAAACAGCTTAACCTAAAAATTTAAAAAGTGTTAAATTTTCTGCAACTGTGGCAAAACAAAAATAAATCTGATTACTCATGTATAGTTTCTTTATGATTACTGAGCTAAAATTCAAACAAAAATCAAGCTCCCTAAAATAATGTATTTTTTTTACAGCTCTGTACTTACTCTGGGGATAATATTTCATATCACTGTGTAAAGTACTAGATGCTATATACAAAGCCCCTCCATTATATTTTTCATCTTAAAAGAGGGTCCGTGAAAGTATTAGTTAATTCAGTGGTTCCCAAACCTTGCTGCACATTGGAATCACCTGAGTATCATTAACAATGATTCAGACTGGGCTCCTGTACTTGCACATCCTGATTTAATTTCTATGGGGTGCAACCTGGGGATTGGGATGTCCCCAAACCTCTGCAGGTGATTCTAATGGGCAGCAAAATTTGGGAACCACTGTGTTCATTTTTTCCCCCTCTATTGGATAGATGCTAAGTGATCTGAAGAAGATTGCCAGGCTAGTAAGTGACAGAGCAAGAACCTGCGGTGAACATTCTCTTTCTGAGCCTCTCATTTGAGCTCACTGTGTGCAGTTTAGACATGAAGAGATCATTTATGAACATGCTCATGTCACACCTACTGTTAGGACTCTTAGAAAACCAATAATTCTTTTGCCGTGCTTTCCATTTAGTGATGAGACAGATCTCTACTTCAGCTTACGGAGGGAGGAGAAAACATAATGCCTCATAGGAGGGCAATTTGTATAGAAGGCTCACTGTGAAATAATTAACAAAGGGGAAAATTTGCTGGGTCCAGAATGTTTTGAGAACATTATGTTAATATTGCACTGGTCATGAAACTTCTATTTATATTCTTTGTTGTTGAGAAGAGAGAGACCTCGATGTTAAGGTCTTGAGTCCTTCATAGTCACAAAGAATAAACAACTCTACAAAGGCTAATGTAAGGTTTTCTTGTTTTGTTTTGCAAACTTATGCTTTATAACTCCGAAGCTGAGATGCCCAAATAGAAATCTAATTGTAAGGGCATCAACTGTAAGAGAACCCCCAAAGCATTCAGCTATAATTTAAAGGCTTTGTTCTTGAGCACATTTTGTTTGGGTTTTAGTTTTGTTATTTATTAATTGGACAGGTCTATCTTTGGTTTCCTTTCCTGTAAGGTAGGAGTAATAATTATGCATACATACATTCCAGGAAGCATTGCACAAAAAAGACTTTAGATGGGGCGCCTGGGTGGCTTAGTCGGTTAAGCGTCCGACTTTCGCTTAGGTCATGATCTCGCGGTTCGTGGGTTCGAGCCCCGCGTCGGGCTCTGTGCTGACTGCCAGCTCAGAGCCTGGAGCCTGTTTCAGTCTGAGACTCCCTCTCTCTCTGATCCTCCCCTGCTCACGCTGTCTCTCTCTCTCCTAGAAATAAATAAAACATTAAAAAAAAAAAAAGACCTTAGATAAATATTATTTCCCTTCCCCCTGTGAGTTAAGAGATCCTGATGAGAATTTTTGATTTGCTAGAAGAAACTAGAAGAAAAAGATGAGTACTCTGTAGATATTCATAGTTAACATGATGTATACGAATAGGTACACCTTTTCTGTAAATCTCCATGAGAATATGTAATAGTGAGAATGGTTATGGATCAGGATTTTGATAGCTGTTTCTCCTTTAAAACCTTCATTTCAAATTATATAATTTTTATAATAAAACCATAAAATATAAAAATACATTGAATTTTCCTTTCAAAGTGAGTAAAAATAAAGCAAGGTCTTATTAAACTCAAAGTACTTCCTTAACTCTAAGCCTTTTGTTTAATTAAATATAAAGTTCAAATTTAGTCTGATTATAATAAATATATTTTAGTATAAAAACTCAACTGGTAATTCAACAAGTGTAGATTTAAAAATACTCTTTATGACCTCACTTTCAGTGTTCAAAAAATCAAATTTAATCTGAGTTAGAAGTTGACACAATTACTCTTGACTGAATTACCTTCTGTGTCCTTGGCAGAATTTATATATTTCACAACTTACTTCCAACAATATGCAGCTTAATCAAAATAGCATATGTCTTACTATATGAAAAAAGTGCAAAGAAGGCTCATTTTTCTTTTTTACATTTTATGAAATATTTTTCAAAAGATGAGAAGCCAAATTGCTAATACTTCATAGCTATTTCTGCTCATGAATATAATTTTGTCAACCAATTCAAGTTTGATGTGAGCATTTTCATAAATCAATATAATTTTGTTTTCAATCCATCTTTTGTCTAAAACAGGAAAGATTTATATGAAATTGTATGACATTTTACTGTTATTAAATCTTAATTTAAACAGGATTAATTTGCTAAAACCCAGGTAGTTAGGTTGACATTGAATATTTCTCATAGAAAAAAGGAGGAGACTTTCAAACTGCATATAAATAACCTATAGGTTACAATGTTGTCTGCTTGTCTGTGTGTGTGATTATTTTCCACCACGCGCTTTAGAATCTAAGAAAAGTAATAGTGGTAAGGACCGATAAGGTAAATAACCTTTGCTGAATTAGTGAAACTGTTACATTTAGGGAGATGTTAAAACTGAATTACTTTTTAAAAAATCAACCACAAACTTGATCCCCTCTTAGGCCATGTCACAGGAAGCCCTTTGTAATTTTCTCCTAGCACTTAAATCTCACGTGTTTGTTCTCATAGCAATATGTTTACTTTTCCTGATTGATATTTAATTTGGGGGTTTTACAGCTGTGTAAACACATTTGGATGAGTAAGTCATACTTGGTGCATGTGAAGTATGTTGGTGTTGAGAGTGACTTAAATAATCCTAACACTTGCAAACCTGTTTAATAAATATGTTAGGCAGTTTACGTACTTAATATTTGAGTTATAAATCCATGAGTTATATCCTATTCTGGCTTGATAATATATCTTGATGAAAGTAAATGATACCCTATGATTCTTTTAAGATTCTTTCCAGACATCAATAATAGATCAATAAAAGTAGCCTCTCTCTATTTGTTAGCATTAAGTAGTTAATCCTAGCCTTTGCATTTTCTCACTTTGCATAGAAGGAATGCAGAAATTTTGTAGAATTAAGCAATATTAGGTAGAAGTATTTGAGACTCATGTGCAGCAGTTTAATGTATAATTTGATTTTGATTAGATCATATTTACCATAACATGATTAATTAACTCTAGCTAAACGTTAATATTCCTGGAGCCAAGGACCCTAAAAGGCAAAACTCTAACCAAAACTAGTCTTTCCAATAACCTATTGGGATAAGAAAACCAGAATAAGTGATAAGTCCCAGATCATATTTTATGTGTTTTGACCCTAAGTTATCTGAGTCAAAGTTGGCATGTCCAATCAAGGCAGAATAATTGTTACCTTGATATGTGAACTTTCACTTCCTGGTCCAGATAGAATTCAACTGTAGCAACCCCTTCTTATTGTATATTTACTCTGTTCTTTGTCCACCGGTCATGACTTGCTGATTTGTATACAAGATTCACAACCACTGGGGCATCAACATGGTGTGAGTCATTCAAAGGGTTCAACCTCTCTTTTTCTCCCAACATTCCTTTCCATTTGTTTCATTTACCTTGACAGTCTCTGTCCCAGGCATCAGAGTTTTCCTGGGTTAAGCGCTTCCTTTGACTTCAAAGAGCCCTGAATGGTTAGATTAGTTTTGAAGCACAAGAAGGGAAAAGGGGGAAAAAGAAAAAAAGTTCTGTTACCTAGTAGAATGCTACATTATGCTCCAGGGAAGGAACTGAACATTCACCATCTAAATGTAGAATCCAGGCCTTGTTTGAGGGAAAGAACATCCTAGTCAGATAGAATGTCCATAGTACATTTGCCCATCAAGAGTATCTAGTTCTCAGGGCGCCTGGGTGGCTCAGTCGTTTGAGCGTCACCTTCGGCTCAGGTCATGATCTCACAGTTCATGAGTTCAAGTCCCGCATCCGGCTCTGGCTCTGTGGTGACAGCTCAGAGCCTGCAGCCTGCTTTGGGTTCTGTGTCTCTGTCTCTCTCTGCCCCCTTCCCTGCTCACACTCTGTCTCTGTCTGTCAAAAATGAATAAACATTAAAAAATTAAAAAGAAAAAGAATATCTAGTTCTCTGAGATGCAAGATAATGC